AATGCTACCATCTTCCCATAATTCATATCAGAATTCAATGCAGCTGTATAAGCCTCATTAATAGTCAAAGGATTAAGGCCCTGAACAAACCGGCGCACCCTAGCCTCCATTGTGGCAACATGTGAATAGCATATTTGGATAGGTGGGCAAACTCCATATGGTACTCCCATACACTTCTACTACCTTGTTTCAGGTTGTCAAACTCAGCTGCACGGGCTGCCCTTGTCTCGGCAGGCAGAAAATGATCTATAAATGCATCAGCAAACTCGCTCCACCTGGCCGGAGGTCTCCCCTCCTCACGGGAATCTTCCCACAACTCAAACCACGAATAGGCCGCCCCTTTCAGATAGTAGGCAGCTAACTCTACTCCCTCTATCTCAGTTGCACGCATGACCCTAAGGGTCTTGTGCATCTCATCAATAAAATCTTGAGGGTCCTCTTCTGGATTGGCACACGTAAACACTGGGGGGTCTAACTGAAGAAATTTGCTCACCTTGGAACTGGTGGAATCCCCTTGCTGGCTAGATGAACTGGGTGCAACATTTGACCTCTGGGCCTGAGAGGCCACTAGCTGAGTCAACATCTGAATAGCTCCCCTAAGATCCCCATCAGAAATACCAAAACCAGAGGCTGGAGCTGGAGGCGGAACTGGAGTACCAATGGGAGGGATAGTGGCACCCTCCGCAGGAGTAGTAACTAGGGTAGTCTGCTTTAGAATAGATGAACCAGGCAGGGTAATAGCAGGGCGACTACCCTCACCCGCAATATCAAGCAATGATTCATCAGCCACTCCTGAGGTGGCATTGGCTTCTTGGCCGATTCTCGTTTTCTTCTTAGGTGCCATTTACTGAAAGGTAGAACAATGCACCAGTTAGAAAAGGAATAGTTTCACAATTGCCGCACGATTCAGAATATAAGAGAAGGGTGTGATTCTTAATGCCCAAGTAGCCTCCAACTTATAGATGTGGTCGACTTCACACCGATAAGAAGGACTCTACTAGACACGGCTCCGAGACATCCTAGGATACTTTAAAACCTTAGGCTCTGATACCAAGTTTGTCACGCCCCAACCTCGGGGGGAGGGGGGGGCACGACCGGCGCTCAATCGAGTGAACCCAACTAAGCAAGCCTTTTGACACTTTCTACCCAACTCAATATGATTAAGGAATCTGGCTTTCGATTAATTAGACAATAGCAAACTTGAGCGTTCAACATTCTTAGTTCATTTTTATATCACAAATCTTAAATCATGGCTAAGTTTCCAAGATTTTATACAGTCATTGCTTAAACGAACTAGAGGATAGAGTTATAACACAGATCATTCACCCAACCAACACTCACTGACGAGTTATGACATTCGGGAGGAAAACTCGTTCCCTTTTGGGAATTGGGTCTGAATTGAAGAGTCGCCACCAAATGATCAAAGTGCATTAGGACACTAAGAAGGGTTTGATTTGAGTAACCAGAGATTGGGAAGGGCTTGAAATTATCCCGAGGGGAAGGTGTTAGGCACCCCTCAAGATCCACTAGTGTGATTCCCGGCCAGACTATTATGTGAACTTAATCGCAAATAACACATAGGAAAATAAAGACTTCAAGTAAGAGGGGATTTTCACATAATGGTTACAAATAAACAAAGTTAGAAAGAACCAAAAGAAAGCTGATTTTTCTTAAAGAAATAGTTTGAAATTTTGAGATGAAGCAAAAAAACAAAGAAACAAAGGGAAGGGGGGCCTAGGTTTATAAATAATATGGATCACCCCACACAACATCCGGTAATCA